ATTTTTTTTTTTGCACTTTAGTATGTGTAAAATGGATGGAAGATGGGTTTAAAGAGAGAAGTGAGAATTTAGAACAGGTGTGTGTCCTCCTCCTCCTCCTCCTCCTTTTTTTTATGTTTTTTTTTCTTTTCTTTTTTTTGCCAAAAATCCTATTATAGATAGATGTAAACTTTGAATCTGAGCACCATATACAATATAAGTAAATTTTGTTATGATTGTCTTTATGGTTTCCCTGCCTTGATAATACAGTTGCATGGTCTTCCGTTGCAGAAAATAACTGTACTATATACTGTAATACCTTATTCTCAGTCAGTGGTAGTACATGATATCTTAAATACTTTACTCCCTTTTACTAGTAGTAGACTGCATAATCTACTAGTTTCACCAGCTCCAGCAATTATTTTGTTGGTCACATTGGCACTCTGACTCAACAGTGATGTAATTTGCATTCATATTAGCTTAATCAGACTACTGAGTGTAAACTGATCAGACCTCATTACATCCCACTCAGAATTTTGTTACTGGGCTATCCAGTGTTACCAGTACTTTTATGTTAATTTGTCATTAACATATGATTCAAAAGTGACATTGTTTGTTAGAGACTTTCATATAGAATGTGACTACCAAAAGTAAATGTTATAATGACAGACCTAATAAAGAAAGATAAAAAAGAATATAAAAGGAAGAAAAAAAACAAAAACGAAAGGTACATTGTTAATTTTTTTTCCAGGGATATTGGAAACATCGCTTAAGTAAGCTGGAAGTGGAAGACTGGAATGAAAAAAAGGAAAAATATCTAGGGCTTGTGAAGAAGGGACACGGTGTCTCGGACAGGAGGCGGAAATACAAATCGGGGTCGAGTCGTAGATCCAGCACCAGGTCAATGTCAAGTTCAAGATCATCAACAACATCAAGTACAGTATCGACGGGAACATCTAGCTCGAGTTCCAGAACCAAGTCAAGATCATCGAGCTCGAGTTCCAGAACCAAGTCGAGATCGTCGAGCTCAAGATCAAAATCAAGGTCAAGGTCGAGGTCCAACTTGAAAGAGAGAGCTAGAAGGTCGAGAGGGAGGTCTTGTTCGAGGTTGGAGTCAGAATCGAGGTTGAGATCAAGGACAGAGAGAAAGGAATTCGAGAAGGGACACGAAAAATCAAAGAATCAAAGGGCTGGTAAAATACATTCTCGAAGGCACTCCTCTCCACCAATCAAACAGAGACGTAGTCCAGCATCACGAGAGCCAGGAGGGAGCTCTGGGGCGTCACCAGAGAAGGAATCGCCAAAGAAGTCGAGCGGTGAAGGGAAATCTACCCCCAAAGAAAAGGGAAAGGATCGGAAACGCAAGACGGAGATTGCTGCGGCAGGGAAGGGAGATAGCCCTAACCATAAATTTAGACTAGAAGAACTAAGGAAACATCTTTTGAAGGAGTTAGATAAGCTGGACAATGAATTTCAAAGCACCAGTGGAAGCACAACACCAGAAATGGGAAAAGACGGAATGGAAACTGACATTGCATTATCAATATCAAGCCCTAAAAATGGAGAGTTCTCAGACGCTGACATGGAAACACAGTTAAGAAAAAGAAAAACAAAATTGGTCAATAAAGCTGGCTTGATCATAAACAGAGAGTTGAAAAAGACACACAATCTGGAAGAAAGAGATAGTGACAGTTGTTCAGAAGATGTACAGAGTATATATGAAGTTGAGGAGAAAAGTAAGAAAATGAACATAGCAATTGAACTGAATTTTGAAAAGCCAAAACTGGAACTCAATTTTGGGAAGAAGCCCCATAAACTTGATCTTTCCTATGCAGTAGATAAACAGTCTACAAGCAGCATGACAAATTTCAAAGAAAAGAACACAAAGGAAGTCAAAGAGAGGGAAAGCACCACCTGCAGTATAAATGCAGAAAGTTTATTCTCAAAAGGAAAAGCCCCTCAAAGTGTAGGAAAGTACGTGAGACACTCCTCAGAAAAGAGAGAGAGGGAAGAGAAGACGATAAATACACTAAAACTCCTTTGTAATCTCAAAGATCTTCATCCCCAGTTGGCTGCTGAGGTTGTTGATGTGTATGACTTTGCCCTAAGACTGAGAAATGAAGGCGAAAGCCCCACAAGATGTCTCGAGGAAGGCAGGAGCGTCATTATCCTGAGACGGGTGTGCACGGAATTGCAAGCCAGCATAGCCCTCGGAAATCTGGGAGACATTCAGAAAATATATCGGGGAGAGATTGTGAAATTAGTGGAAGACACTTTGGAAAGTTATCTTCTTATGTCAAACAGGTTTCTATATGATCTGGATATCAAGGCCATTGCCCAGTGCACGCTTGGTGGTTCGAAATCGGACGTTGTGAAGTTCATTCGTGATGCTCTCGTTTGCAGTGCAATGCATATACCCACAGTGGAGAATCTTGCAGGTATCTTGGATGCTGTATTGCAAGAGCAGTCCAAGATAAACGGGGTTTAGTCAAAGGGGGAGAGATTCTGAGCACATTTTGCT